ACTTGACTATTCCTTCTAAAGGCTTTTGCCAATACAACTTGGGCCAACTTTAAGAGGGGCAAATCAAAAGAGGGATCAGACAGGTGAGGGTTAGACCAGAGAGACAGTCCATACAACAACCAGATCCAGACAGGAGAGGAGTTACAGGCAAGAAGGTCATTACCAGGAGGCTGTATACATATCTATACCAGCATACACTCTAGAAGAAAAGGTTCTGTATATAGAGCCTTAAAGGGTTCTTTTAGACGCTTCTTTTACAGAACCTTCTAGAGATTCCGATCATAAAATATTTTAGTTGTAATTATTTAAAGGGTTAGTTCACCCAAAAATTCTTACCCTCATGTCATTCCAAACCCAAAAGACTTTCGTTCATTTTTGGAACACAAATGAAGGGATTCTGTATAAAACCCTAGGGCTCTTGACTCAATTTTAAAGAACGCTTTATTTCAAAAAGGTTCTATATAAAGAGAAATGTCTTAAATTGTATAATACTTTCATGTTCACTGGGTTATTTTTTCCCCCAAGTGTTTCAAGCTGTTTAATTCATAAAAATTAACTAAATTTAAAAATTAAAAAAAAATTAAAGGGTTATTAGTTAGTTCAAACTTGAGTCCTGAAAAGAAGCACAACAAATATATAAGCATTTAACATTGTTTGGTATATATATATATTATATTTGTGTTATTTGACAGTTTTGGATACTTTTTGTGAAGATTATAATTTTACTTTATAATGTTATTAACGTAACATTATTGCATGTGCTGCGTAAATGTGCTGTTATCTCTCGCTTATTTCGTAGGTGTTGGTCATATGTCGGTCGCTCATCTCCTGGAGGCCAGACTCTTTCCATTGGAAATAACTGTGGAATAAAAGCCATTATCGAGCATGAGTTTCTCCATGCACTGATTTTGGCATGAGCAGTCAAGATATGACAGAGATGATTATGTGACCATCAACTTTGAAAACATCATAAAAGGTTGCCTTGTATTTTTTATTATTTTGTTTTCAACTTTATTTGTTTTTTTTAGGAAAAGAGTAAAAGTTATATACAGACATACACATGCTGATTGCAGTGCCCATTTAAATTAGCACTTAAATAAGCCAAGTCTTTATTTTCAGGGCAGGAGAATAATTTTGTTAAATACAACAAGAATGTGTCCACCACCCAAGGCACCCCATATGATTATTACTCTGTGATGCATTATGATAAAAATGCCTTCAGTAGCGATAATGGGTCCACGATCATCACCAAGCTTCCTGAGTTCCAAGATGTGATTGGTCAACGCCTGGACATCAGTGAATATGATGCGATTGAGCTCAACAAACTCTATAAATGCAGTGAGTATTTTACACACATTGCTTTCATTTGGACTTTTATAGATTTCGTATAGTTTAAGTGGATTCTAAGATTAAAATGTTGCAGTTTGTGGTTGTTAGATATTTCAGTAGGACTTGAAGTCTGATGTAAAGAAGACCAGGGAAACATGTCCTCATGAATGGAAGTTGTAAGGAATTGATTTTGCCTCAGTGTTTGTCTGTTTGCATGACAGATTCCTCCATCTCTTTCCTTGACCACTGCAGTTTTGATGATACATATCTGTGTCAGATGAGTATCTGTTCTGCTGCCGTTTATGGCTGGCAGAGAGTTAAGTCAGTGAGTGGCATCAATGTGACTGACCACACCTACTTGAGCAAAGAACAAAATGGTGAGTTCCGTTTCAGTCAGTCAGCGGAAAGTGTCTGTTTTGATATCACAGGAAGAGACTTTACACTATACTTTACTATTTACTATACTAATTGCCCAAAAAGAAATGCTTCAATTCCATCCACAGTTGCAGTCACTGTACCACCCAGTTCCACTATACACCTGTTTTCATGTCTGCAGGGATGTCTTTTTTCATGCACTTCAGCACTGAGGGGAGAAAGGAAGGGGACACGGCCATAATGGACAGCAAGACAATGACCCCTAAAAGAGACTGCAAAGTCCAATGCCTGCAGTTCTACTACTATCACAGTGGTAATGAGTCTGACCAGCTCAACATCTGGATCCGAGAGTACCAGAATGAAGCAGACAACAGAGGAACTCTCAGACTTATGGATCAGATCACAGGTCGGTCTCTTCTTCAAGTACTGTAATATTACAGGCGGAAAAACACATGTCGGCCTATGCTTTTAAAACGTTCCTAAAATGTTTAATTTTACATTTTAATTTCCATTTCTTGCAGAACTTCCAGGTAATTACTGGAAACTGCATCATGTGTCACTAAATGCAAATAAAACCTTCCAAGTTGTATTTGAAGCCCGTAAAGGAGCTGGAAACTCCAGTGGAGGCTTCTCACTGGATGATATAAATATTTCAGAGACTGAGTGTCCCCACATATGGCAGATAAGGGACTCTGAAAAGGTTTTGAACAATGGGATTTTGGAGAGTCCATTGTATTACTCCAGTGATGGTTATCGCTTTCAGGCTGCATTAAAGGTGGATCAGAATGTTCTTGCCATGTATATTCATCTGGTATCTGGTGCATATGATGACCAGTTGCAGTGGCCTTGTCCATGGAGACAAATAACCTTCCAGATGCTTGACCAGAATCCACACATGCAGAAGCGCATGTCCTTAGAAGAAAGCATCACCACTGACCCTGCTTTGGCATCTTCCAGTGAGAGTCCTATTATTTTTCTGTCAGATGTGTTTTTATGAATCAAAGTTATTATCTGTAGTTTTGAAGGGCCTTTTAAAAGCAACATTTTTTTGTAGCAGACTGGAACAATCCTCGAAACAACGGAAGTCAAGTTGTCATCGGAAATGAGACTGTATTTGTGGGTCCTTGGGTTTCTATATATGGCATAACAAATGATGATCTGACTAGAAGAGAGTTTATCAAGGGTGGTGACATCATATTTCTCCTCACCATGCAAGGTAGGTTTTGTGAAGTAACCTCAGAGAACAAGTTTAACTTGTCTAGTTTAAAGCAAACTGAGCATAATAAGAATGATGACAAGGATTCAGTTGGGCTATTATTTATATTTATAGTGTGACCCACTTTGTCTATAAATGTTGTTTTCCAATCCAGATATCTCAGGGCTTCTTCAGAAAGACTCTCTACCCTGCCCTAAAGTGACAGTGAAGAACTTCAACATTTCTCCTGATGCAAGTGCCCAGCAGGGACCATGTGCTACAAGGTGAATATCTCTTTAACCTCTGTTGTGTCCACAGAAAACTAAAATATTTTTAGGAAGTACTTTAAAAAATAACAGTATTTAAGAAATAATGTATACAGAGTGAATATAGTAACATCTGTAAGGCTGGAAGCTTACACTGCTATTTTGAACTAATAATAGTAACAAAAAGCAGTTGAAGGATGATGTGCATAATTCAGTTATTTTTCTGACTCCAATATGATTAATCTGACTCCATTCAAGTTGTTATCCTTTATCCTCTGATTTTTTTTTTTTTATGTGAAAAAAGAACTGATTGGTTCTATTGCATTAATAATGTGTATCTTCATATTTTTACCTCTCCTCTTTTAGTGATTGTGCCAAGACTGCTTCCTCTCTGATCATCTTGGTGCTTTACTTTCTTTTTCTAGTGAGTTAATCACGAGAAATCACTATTATCACTTCCCTTGTCTGACTACACATGAGTTCAATGCCAAAGAAGTTGAACTACATCTATCTTCAGCTTTCTGGGATATGATAGCTAAATGTGTTTTGTTAATGAAAGGAGCTGAACAGATTAAGTTTATATTCATTTATTTACAATCTATGTTATTCTTAGAGTTAATTATAACAATTTATAAATAAGGCATTTATTGTCAAACTCTTTAATAATGTTTGATTCACACATTCTCTGTGGAGGTTAAGCTAAATATTTGCCATATCTGAGTCTTTTCAATGTTATTAATCACTGCATGTATACTATTGTCTGTAAAATACTAATCTAACCTTGAAATGCTCCATTTACCCAAAAAAAAAAAAAAATCACAAAACCGTGTTTGCAAGTAATCAGTTTAATAAATATGACTAAAATTTTCAAGTGTGTTGAATTTGAATATAAGAGAATATGCATACAAATTGGACAGATGAAAACTCTGCAAACTCCAAAACCACCCAAATCCTGCGTTTATCATTAAAAGGAGCCTATGCACCCTGGTTTGGCCTGCGATTGAAACCACCTGCGAGATTTTAGTTCCATCTAGTGGCATATGGTGGAGCTGCTACTTTTCTGCAGGTGAACAAAAGGACATACACATTTGTATTAGATATGTCTAAAAAAAAAAAAAATAGCTAAACAGCATTACAATAAAATTCACTTGAGAATTCAGAAAGAAATCATTTGCATTAACTTTGGCTTAAGTGCTTGGTCAAGTGGTGATTGGTTTAATAATGCCACGCCACAACCGTTACCATAGAAATAATACAAATAAATTCTATATTTATTGTAACAGTTCTATGAAATTGAAAAATCCCTTTGAACTTACGATTCCAGAATTTCAGCTTGCTGAAATTACAAAACCCACCAGGATTTGGTCAACATGTGACTTTTTTTGCTTCCCAGTTCCCTCTCCCCATCCTTCCATTCCCTCTCACTCTTTGACAATATCTGGTACAGTATAATCTAGTATGAAACAAATCAATCAAGGGATGAGATACCTACATCACAAAAAACAGCTTGAAATCTCAGCAGATGGCAGTAGAGCTCATAAATTTCTCCACAAAATGCAAGACCTCGAAAAACACACGCTAACTTGGTAAAAAGTAATGGATAAAACTCTGGGTGGTCACTCTCAATAGAATTAAATACAATTTAGATGATTGTTAAAGTATAGAACCATGTTCTATAATTTGTGCCTTTTTAGTCTTCCTACCTTGTTGGGGGAAAAAAGTTTAAACCAGCCTAAGATAGTTTGTTTGGTTTTTATTCTGGTCTTCCAGCCACAATTATTTATTCTGGTCTTCCAGCCACAATTTCCCAAAACCCCTTTAAAACCTTATACAACCTAGACTGATTTGTTAAATGAAAACATGCTATGTGTGTTCCTTTTAGCCACACATTGAATATTTCACAGGTCAGCAAATGTTCAACAGTATCTCTGAGGATAGTTTATGGACTGCCATACCTAAACCTGAATATGTGACCTCAGGTTGGTTGAGGAAAACCCCAGCTGGGTACGGGAATCTCCCTTTTCAATTTGAGTAGCTTCTCACTGCGCTGACCCTCAGTTTCTATGACATCCTGCTCCTCAAGTGATTGACGAATGAGGGACTTGAGCAAGGGCAGTCCAAGGCCAGTCGTGGCAGAGACTGGGACGATGTGCATAAAACGCATTCGTGTTTTAGGGGTGACGTCCTCAGGAAAGATGTGGCTTGATTCTAGGGAAAGCAGAGCATCACTCTAAAATTATCAATCAAGGAAAAATGCAGAAAAATGTAAAGGTCAGTGCAGTGGAACAATCACATTAGGCCTGCATTTCAGCAAAATGTACTTGTGGTAGAAAATTGAGACTGCCAAAATGGTCAAGTACAAATCACCATCTTTATAGAATAATTGCAGTACATACTTGTGGGAATGGTCATTTTCAAGAGTGCTTTTAAAACAATTGCATGAAAAATAATGCTACCACTTTATTGATAAAAGCATCCGTGTCATGATATGACATTTCTGACGCACCCGCTATATACCTAAAATAACACAAAACAAAGGCTAAGTCTAAACTAATATACACATCTGTGACTAATATTCATTACATTACCTATTTAATGGTCCCTAAATAGCTTGTTTGCTTCCAATAATACCTACCTTCCTGGTTCTCCAAGTGAGCTTCCAGCTCTCTGAGCCGGCCCTGAGCCTCAGGGAGGTCCATCTTATTTATGACCAGGATGGCTGGCTTGTCTAACAGTTCCTCCTTATACAACTCCAGCTCCTGATCAACAAAAAAAGATCAAGAGCAAGTTATGCAGCAAAATCTTGTATACAGAAGCATTTCGTTGAGAAAAGCAGTAGTGTTTTAATTAGTTCACATGTGACATGGGTTGTGTGTGTATGTGTGTGTGTGTGTAATACTTTTTAAAGGTTTGGGGTTGGTAAGAGTTTTTAAAACATTTTTGAAAGATGTCTCTTTTGCTCACTAAGGCTACATTTATTTTATAAAAAAAATTTGACTGGAAAAAAAAACAGTAAAACAGAAATATTACAATTTAAAATAACTTTTATATTTTAATATATTTGATAATGTAATTTATTTCTGTAATGACAAAGCTGAATTTTCAGCAACTATTATTTGCTTATTTGGATCTCAAGAATATTATTTTCAATATTGAAAACAGTTGTGCTGCCTATTTATTTAGGATTCTTTTATGAAAAGAAAGTTCAAAAGAACAGCATTTATTTGAAATAGCAATCTTTTGTAATATTATAAATGTCTTTATTGCTTTTGATCAATTCAATGCATTCTTATAAATAAAAGTTATAATTTTTTTTATCTTAACCCCCAAACTTAGGAACGGTAGTGTATATGTTTACCTTGGTTAAAAGCAGTACAGTTTCAAATGCAGACCTAAACGGGGTGTTACTAGCTAGCTGAAACCCACAGATATCGACCTGAAACATCAGAACATGAGATTACTATACAACTCTCCCAGTTCTTAACATTAAGTTCACAACATAACAGACTGAACTCAGTACCACAAACATGAGCTGCTTGGTTCTTTCCACATGCTTGAGAAACTTGTGTCCCATGCCTTTATTCACGTGAGCACCTTCAATGAGTCCTGGTAAGTCTGCCATAGAAACCTTCAGAGAAAAATAACTTCTGTAACTCATTCTGACATCAGTCTGAAGAAGTGTGAATTATAAGACACAACATATAACATACAATCACATTTGCTAAAGATCTGTTTATGAAAAATGTAACTGTATATTGTAATTTTTGGTTTAAATCTTGGTTTAACTGTATATTGTAATTTTGGTTTAATTATCTTTATGGAAGAAGGTCAAAACCAAGCTTGTCAATCAGTATGCAGAATAAATCTAATTTAGTTATATCCTTATTAAAAACAAAGACTCTTCACACAATGTGGTCTTCTAAACAGGCATGCCACTGTTGTAACTATATTAAGTAATGACATGATAGCATCCTGAGAATGGATGTTATGAGTTCAGCACATTTTGAAGAGCATATCATCCTACCTGCTTGTGGTCATCATACATGATCTTTCCGATTTCAGGTCTTAAAGTTGTAACTAAGGTGGGGGAAAGGGGATGATTGTAAAAACAGCAATAAATATCATATATGAATCATTCTCCCACTTTCAACTACTTTTTTTCCTGAAAATTTCTTATTATGTGTAAATATTTGTAAGAAAATAAAAAGATTTAACAACTGCGACATAAACCGAACACATTTCACATTTGACGAACAGAAATGAAATGTGTCCCTGAAAGGGAGGCCAATATCAAAAGCAGCAGGGAGTATCTGGTGTGCCTAGCAGATGCTTTAAGAGCTATTAGTGCATCTCATCCTCATGGACTGTGGACTATGGCATGTTCACACAGGTGATTAGGGACCCTGGGCATCTTTCTCCTGGTGTTTTTCCAGAGACAGCGAAAAGGTATCTTTAAAGTTATTGAATTAATGAATGAATGAATGACGCATTTTATATAGCGCTATCATATGTACTACTGTACACCCAAAGCGCTTTACAATCATATCAGGGGATCTCTCCTCAACCACCACCAGTGTGCAGCATTCACTTGGATGATGTGACGGCAGACACAGAACAGCGGCGCCAGTGCATTCACAACACACCAGCTATAGGTGGAGAGGAGAGAATGACAGAGCCAATTAAATGGATGGGGATTATTAGGAGCCAATGGGGGGAATGTGGCCAGGACACCAGGGTTACACCCCTACTCTTTACGAGAAGTGCCATGGGATTTTTAATGACCACAGAGACAGGACCTCGGTTTAACGTCTCATCCGAAGGACTGAACTGCTATTGTAACAGTGACCTTAATTTTCTTTTGGACTTTTCCACAGGTGCATGTGCAAAAATTGTTTATGGTTCACTGAACAAGCATGAAAAACTTTGTTTAAACCCTTTTCAATAAAGATCTGTAAAACTTATTTGGATTTTTACAAAATTATCTTTAAAATACAGTATCCTGAAAAAGGGACATTTCTTTTTTTGCGATAGATAGATAGATAGATAGATAGATAGATAGATAGATAGATAGATAGATAGATAGATAGATAGATAGATAGATAGATAGATAGATAGATAGATAGATAGATAGATAGATAGATAGATAGATAGATAGATAGATAGATAGATAGATAGATAGATAGATAGATAGATAGTTCAACTTTTCACTACATTGGTTTAATTTGTTACTGAGTTTCAGTACTCACAGGGATAGCTGGCAATCATTGGTTTAGCATGAGACAAGGCAGTCAGCAAGGAGGATTTGCCTGCATTGGGAAACCTGTCAAAATAATACAAGCCTATCAAACCTGTAAAAAAATGTTTGATGTGTGTGAGTGAAATACACAGAAAAACAATAACACAAGGAGGGTCACAAAGAATGACACATAGCAGTTTTTTATGACTTACATCACAATCAATAAAGTATTTACATACCAAGTATAGTTGAATTATACATTATATTTTTTGTGCAATTTTCCTACATCATGTTTAGCTCTTTATGTGCTTTACTTTTGACAGCAATACTTCCCACCCCAGTCCACATTCTGTGTAGAGATTCTCTCACCCTACAAGTCCAAGATCTGCAATGAGTTTAAGGTCCAGCCGAATCTGTCTGGTTTGACCTTTACTGGGTAAGAACCCAGAGTGAAGAGAGCCACCATGACCACCTCTAGCCACCAAAAGTCTGTCTCCTTCACAGTTCAACTCCCCTAAAGTGAAAAGAATAAAATGTTCAATGACACAGAGTACACTGTTGCCCCTTTTCCACCAAAGCATTTTGAGAGCCGGTTCGGAGCCGGTGCCTACTTGCGAACCAGTTGTTTGTGTTTCGACAGCCAAAGAACCGGTTCTCGGCCAGGAAAATTGGTTCCAAAGCGGCACCAACTCTTTGCTGGACTACAACCCTTCTTTTACCACGTCATGCTTACGTCGGGGGCTGGGGGCGGGTTACTGTGAACAACAACATGACGGGAATGGGAAAGCTAAGACGTATGGCGACATACACAGTGATGTAACGACGTCATTCGCTGGGCTCTCTAGTCAGTGGAAAAACAAACAGGTTCTGAGAAGGTTCGCAAGTTGAACCAACTTTGAACCAGCACCAGTTCCGAACCAGTTCTTTTTTTGGTGGAAACGAGGTATGTGAAAAGGAACAAACAACACAAATTGGCATTTGATATAAAAGTTCAAATGTGAGAGAAAATGTGTAGAAAAACGTCAAACAAAGAAGTGAAGTGATATGAGGAATGTGAAAGGAAAACACTGGATGATATAGATGTTATAGAGAGGTGTAAATGGAATTACCTAGTATTCTCCCCCCATCCGTTGTGACACTGATCCCAGTAGGTGCGAATACCTGGGTGTCCTCTCCTTTCGCCCCTCTCAGAGCATGAATACTGACAAACACACCACACAAAACTTTACTTAGTCTCTATACTACAAAATCACCACAATCCAAAGATTCAACAGCTCTCAAATTCAGGTTTTAAAAGTCAATAAACAACTTTGTGTGAGAAGAAGTCCAAAAATAAGTGTTTATTTACTGCCTTGTGCACATTCTCTTAAATGAAACATACATATTCTGCACATTTAAATCTGAAATGATAAACATGAAAATTAAAGAAATTGTCCACAGAATCATCTCCTCCTGGTATGCTCAGTGTGCTGATTTTCTGGGTGCATGCAAACAATGAAAACATTCTTGCATTTATCATAATCTGAACAGGTGGAACGCAAAAATATTTAATGAATAACGACAAAGTGTTCCTCACAAAACTTTTAAAGACGTGCAAAGATTTTTGCACTACTTTAATTGATTTATGGAGCATGACATTTGGGTTCGCAGTTTCGTTATATGGAAAAACAAGCTTGGATATTCTGCTAAATATCTTGAAAGTTCAATAGACTATTTGATAGCAACTATTTAAAAGATTGTGAATGCATCCTCTGCATGGAGCTAGTAATCCTTCACAATATCAGAACAATATAGACCTCCTTACATCAGATTCACCAGACAAAAGAATAACACCTACAATGCATCTGTTTTAGATTTCTCACTCCAACACAATCAATCAATAGGAGAGATCACACAATCTATTACTGCAAAAATAGGGCCCTGTGACATGACATACACTCACCTAAAGGATTATTAGGAACACCTGTTCAATTTCTCATTAATGCAATTATCTAATCAACCAATCACATGGCAGTTGCTTCAATGCATTTAGGGGTGTGGTCCTGGTCAAGACAATCTCCTGAACTCCAAACTGAATGTCAGAATGGGAAAGTAAGGTGATTTAAGCAATTTTGAGCGTGGCATGGTTGTTGGCCAGATTGAAAGTGGCAAGAGGGGAAAGAGTATCAGATCATGTATCCGTGTTTACAGGAGAGCTACTAGCAATTATGATAGCAATTAATAAAATAAATGAAATGGGGCTAAGTAAAACTTTAATATGCTCAGATTCAAGTTCAGCCTTGATGTGCCTGGAAGCTCAAAAATCAGATACTAGACAGGATATTGTTTTGGAAATCTTACAGATATTGTTCATAATGCAACAAAAAAATAAGATAGTTAAGTTTTTATGGGTTCCGGCACATACTGGAGTGTCTGGAAATGAAGCAGCAGATAAACTAGCAAAACAGTCTATGGCAAAGGAAAATATAGATATGCAAATTAGGTATAGTAAATTAGAAATCAAATCAATAATTAAACGGGAGATAAATAAAAATTGGCAATCGTATTGGGATAATGAGGAAAAAGGTAGACATTTACATTTAATACAACCATTGGTAGGTAGAGGAAGGAATTCAAGTGGGAGAAGGAAAGAAGACTGTATTATTTCTAGATTAAGACTGGGACATACAGGACTTAATTCAACAATGCAAATAATAGGAAAACATCCTACAGGATTATGTGAATGGTGTGGAATCAGAGAAACAGTGGAACATGTACTTATTAAGTGTAATGAATATTCTGAAGAAAGAAGTAAGTTAATTGAAGAATTTGAGATGAAAGATAATCAACAATTAACATTAAAGATGGTTTTAAACTCAGTAGAGGGGGGTAGGTTAATAATAAAGTTTTTAAATAGAACAAATTTGATCTTTAGAATATAGATAGGCTATTAGTGTTTTTAGTATCAGTATCCCGCTCTGGAAGATGAGGGACTTTGGCTGTAGATGGAGGAGCTGAACACGCAGCAACATTGAAAGCACGAGTCCTGATTGTTCTGGGAGTTGTGATATTGTCTCTGATCTATTACCTACAGTAGATGGCGGTAATGCTCTTTTTAAGAATGCGAACCGCCAATAAGCCCAAAGAAGAAGAAGAAGCATGGTTGTTGGTGCCAGACGGGCCGGTCTGAGTATTTCACAATCTGCTCAGTTACTGGGATTTTCATGCACAACCATTTCTAGGGTTTATAAAGAATGGTGTGAAAAGGTTAGAACATCCAGTATGCGGCAGTCCTGTGGGCGAAAATGCCTTGCTGATGCTAGAGGTCAGAGGAGAATGGGCCGACTGATTCAAGCTGATAGAAGAGCAACTTTGACTGAAATAACCACTCGTTACAACCGAGGTATGCAGCAAAGCATTTGTGAAGCCACAACACGCACAACCTTGAGGCGGATGGGCTACAACAGCAGAAGACCCCACCGGGTACCACTCATCTCCACTACAAATAGGAAAAAGAGGCTACAATTTGCAAGAGCTCACCAAAATTGGACAGTTGAAGACTGGAAAAATGTTGCCTGGTCGGATGAGTCTCGATTTCTGTTAAGACATTCAGAGGGTAGAGTCAGAATTTAGCGTAAACAGAATGAGAATATGGATCCATCATGCCTTGTTACCACTGTGCAGGCTGGTGGTGGTGGTGTAATGGTGTAGGGGATGTTTTCTTGGCACACTTTAGGCCCCTTAGTGCCAATTGGGCATCGTTTAAATGCCACGGCCTACCTGAGCATTGTTTCTGACCATGTCCATCCCTTTATGGCCACCATGTACCCATCCTCTGATGGCTACTTCCAGCAGGATAATGCACCATGTCACAAAGCTCGAATCATTTAAAATTGGTTTCTTGAACATGACAATGAGTTCACTGTACTAAAATGGCCCCCACAGTCACCAGATCTCAACCCAATAGAGCATTTTTGGGATGTGGTGGAACGGGAGCTTCGTGCCCTGGATGTGCATCCCACAAATCTCCATCAACTGCAAGATGCTATCCTATCAATATGGGCCAACATTTCTAAAGAATGCTTTCAGCACCTTGTTGAATCAATGCCACGTAGAATTAAGGCAGTTCTGAAGGCGAAAGGGGGTCAAACACAGTATTAGTATGGTGTTCCTAATAATCCTTTAGGTGAGTGTATATATACATGACACACAAAAATATCTTATTGTGGATTAAAAACATAATAATATATTGAAAAGACAAAAATACTATTATATTATCCATATAATATAAGAAATTCCTACTATTGCCTTTCAGAGGTATTACTGACCATTTCCATTTCTCTCACCCTTATACTCTTTCTAAGAAAAAAGAACTCACCTGCTGTTTGAACCAACACCTGCAGTGAATCGTTTGTTAGGGTGTTTGTCCTTGATTTGCTTCAATGTAGTGCCTTTTTTGGCCACCACACACACGTCTCCACCATTTCCCCCATTTCCCCCTAAACGGGGCAAACCCATTCCTCCGCTTCCACCCCTCACATACAGCCGTATATTATCCACAAAGTTGCCATACTGAAATAAAAGAGATGCCGAATTAAGTTCATGAAACTGTTTATTTCACTTTTGAACGCATGGAAAATTTCAAGCATAAAGATATTTATTTCTCTGGTGTTGACAGTACAAATATCTTCATTTGTGTTCCGAAGATGAACGAAGGTCTTGGTTTGGAATGACATGAGGGTCAGTAATTAATGACAGAAATGTCATTTTTGTGTGAACTAACAATTTAAAGTCACGTTTTGCGTTTGTGGTTCAGATAAATCATACATTTCACATGGCCTACGTGTTTTATGCTGTTGGTGTGTGTTTGTTTATTAAGAATGTTTTATCATAAACCCAACCTAAATGAACCTTCAACAGCATAAGAACAGAGCCCTCAAATGATGTCCCTTTGAAGTGAGACCTGAGTGAGCAGGAAATAGCTACGTCTTGAGTCGAGGGAGGAGCTTAAGACGCATGCCACAAACGCCTCGTCAACATTACGCACGGTGCACTTTGCAGCATACTAAATTTCATTAAAGTGTGTGGTCTGGGCGCATGAGGAAAATTACCTATAGCCTAGGCTACTTACTTATTCACGTCATCACACCGCTGCTAGCCCTAACCCCATAGGGAGATTAGCCAATAAACGCATTCATTTATGAAAATAGTCCTAGGCTTAGGCTATAGCCGACTCTGAAAAAGACAAAATAAGGACTTAAATCAGATGTATGGATAATGTTAATTGGAACAGCATGTGCCAGCTCGATTTCAACTCATTTCACCACAAGATGACAATATGCTAAACATGTTAAGTGTGTTTGTAGTTTTTGTGTCATTAACAGATCGTGTAACAAATTACTATATGACTATTACTGTTACAGTAACAGTAATAATCATATAGTAATTTGTTACACGATCTGTTAATGACACAAAAACTGAGCATGTGAAGGTCGGGCCACCTATGACTTCCTAAATGTCATTCTATAAATTTGCCAACGTTACTAACCTTGCGGAAGCAAGCTCTGCTTGTCCAGACCATCCCGAAACAACTCCTCAAGTCAGATATTGTCCTGACCTGGCACACAATCTATCCGTTTTTAGTTACAACGTTCCTGATTCTGCATTGCTGAAATGAAGGACCAAACACGTGTGTGCTTCCGGAAACATGGCGATGTGTGCCGTGATTGGCTGAAAGTGCTGATGTTTCCGCCTCTCCCTGTCAGAACTAAACTAAAAAGTAAACAATAAATAAATAAAATAAACATTTATTCACCTTTTTTCTCATGGTTTTTCAATATAATTTATAAAATTATATTATATAATAGAATAGCATTGTTCTAATAGGGGCACTTTGTAACGCAGTGTGACAACATGCCCCACCTGCACAACTGGGGTTTAACCCCGGCTAGTCTTCTGCTGGTTAAATAACTATCTCAACTGTTAAATAACAGATATACGTTTAAAATTATTTAAATTTAGACAAATTTGATATTAACACAAAAAAACAGAGATGAAAAATTAACATAAGTAAGAAATTTACTTTTGCTTATAAATGTTCAGTGATGTCTTCCAAAGATTTCTGAATTTTGGCGCATTTTTTTCTTTATATAGTCTTGGTATGGAAACTAGTAAATACACTAAGTTTCGTCATGCTAGCATGTGTGGAAGTATTTAAAACAAGTGTGTTGCAACTAGCCCTGTTAGTTTGTGCCCCGCTCACCCCTAGCTTTTCTTATAACTTGTTTAAAAACAAAACAAATACTTGATTATTTATTTCATAAGGCACATACCTAAAACCTGGCAGTATAAATTATGCCACTGTGTCAGACAAAACTGGCATAAGGTAAATATGAGCAAGCTCCCTTTGAGAGATAATTAATATTATTATAATTACCATTGTTGAAAACTACGACTTAAAAAAAAAAAAAAAAATTTTTTAAATATTGTTGGCCCACTTTGGCTAAATGTGTAAGATAAAGTGGGCATGTGGGATTCAGGTGAAGTCGGCGACCTTTACACTTCATTATACTCAAATTAATTAGGCTAAACAAATTGACATTCACTGGTTATTTTGACATAATATGTCATAAAGTAGATATTATCTACTTTTTAGAAAACAGAATTGAGTGCGCCATTAGGAAATTCAAGTCAGAGATGGAAGAAAGGAAAGAAAGAGCATAGTTATAAGTTAAATATAATTGAATAAATTCAATCTGTGGAGTAAAGAAAAGATGAGAGGAGGAAAATGTAGATGAAGAATATAAAGTTTCATAGTATTTACACAATTTAAGTTAATTTAAAGTGTTTAGAAAAACAGACAGCATTTTTGATAAATCAGGGATTTATCTGATTTATCAATGAATTTTACATGACAATAAATTTGTCTGGATTGCATGATCCTTAAAATGTTTATTTGTATATAGCCTACCTTGCAAATAACACATTATATAAACTGTATTCAAATTGATATATTATATAGCTGGACCTTAAAGTTAACAAAAACAGACTAATAAAAAAAAAGGAAAAAACATAGGTAGGCTATCTAAATTACACGTGTAACAATAAAACTTTACTCACCCTACAAAAAAGAAAAGAAAAAAAGAATAGTATAGGTTAATCATGAGCTCTACGTCTTGTGTTGCTTCGATTGTAATTTAATTATGTTCTTCACGTCAAGATCGAGGTTTTTAGTGTAAGTGGAATGGGCTACGGTCAACAGTATGACGTTTGAAACGTGGGCGCGCAGAGCTTTAAAAGTCTCCAGAAGTCGTTAAACACTCTGTCAAAGCCAATTATTCGCCTCAATGGTACGTCAGGAGACGTGTCTGCAGAACAATCGCAGAAAAGAAACGACTGAACAAACATTGTAAGTAAAATATCTTGAGTAATGTTATATACATGCAGCTATTTCACTTACTGTAATCGGAGAAAAAGGACTTTTGTTGCTTTTCCAAAAGGTTTTGTTTTACGCGGCATATTGTATGGTTCGCATAAACCGCAACAGTTTTCAAGTCCTAAAAGATTTCACTGTTGATTCCATAGGTTCCAATGGAACGATTAATTGGATTCCTTGACGGCCAGTGGTGGCGCCTTCTGTCAGCGTGTCTGCTCATGCTCGCCACCGCATCATCGGTCTCCATACCCAATCTCGAGATGCTGAATACCGAGAGGGCAGGAGGCGGCAAGACTCCCGGTCACCTGGGCGAGATAAACCGTGAATGCTGGGACACATCGTCACTAGCGGTAATACAAGCGCGTAAATTACCCGTTGCCGATACGGTTTCTGGTCTCTGGGACTTCATGACATACTTGAGCGAGTCTAATCAACCCAGACATCAAGGCATGTTCATGGAGCTGGCGCAGGTCTTTTGGGAGCGGTATGTGGACTGTGTGCTCGCTCGCGCGCACGGACTGGGCAGAAGGGCCAGTGCGTCCAGGCAAGAGATCATCAAAGTGCTAACTTATCATTCAAAAGGGATACAAATCTAGTCACTTTACTTTGTTTAAATTTGAATGTCTGTCAAAATGTATAGATTGAATGTATTTTATTCCTTTGTGACTCATATCAAACTTAAGCTAAATTAGCTTGTTAAATGTCGCTAATTCTGGTGCAACGGTGTCAGAATACATGCGAACCCACTATATTAAAACAAAAATCTTTTTAAGAACGTGTTGTCTACTCAGTCTACCTGTCCATGTAGGCCTACAATCTGTCTACCCTGAGACATGTAATTTATAAGTTCAATTCACAAATGAATTCACAAACATGTAAGAAAAAAATGCATAATTGATAAGGCAAAGCTGTTACATTTTACATAGTGCAAAACAACTAAACTCATTTATTGTGATATGGGAGCTGCACAATAATAGTAGGCCTATTTTTTATCATTATTATTGGATACACAACCTATTCGCTTGGATGTCTACAGTCAATTTTACATACCTGAGGCAACAGCAAAATGTCCCTTGAGTTCAGTTAGTCATGTATAACACTATCACTCTGGCGCACAGATCCCATGCAGTGCCACAACAGTCTCAGACAATAAACACAAATTGTGTTTATTGTCTGAGACACTTGTGGCACTGCATGGGATCTGTTAGATCGGCCTGATGACTTCACAATCAATCACAAATCTAATTAAGGTACCAGTTGCTCAATTACAGTCAACAAATACTTTTTTAAAGTGAAAGTGTATAGACCATGTGTCATGAACTGCTCGGTGGAAACAGACAGTGGTGATCCAAATGCAGGCTTTATTGAGAGGACAATCCAGAAACAGGTACGAGACAACAGGCAGATGTCAAAACCAGGTGAGCAGTCCAGATCAGCAAACATATAATGCAAGGATGAGGCAAACGGGAAGACCAGAAACAGGCAGGGAGTCCAGGAACCGTGAAACTAGGAAACACTAAGGAACTAGGAAAACGCTTAGGATGCAGTGAGACACATACAATACTGAGCCATGAACCAAGGGAAAACTCAGGCTTAAGACAGGTGCGCTAAACAAGATAATCAAACACAGGTGCATGAAATCAACCAAAATCAGTCCAGGGTGAAACCTAAAGGAAACAATAAACTAGGAAGGAGTGCCCCCCAGAGGCTCAAGCGGGCACTCCAGCCGCAGATCGTCACATAACCCCCCCTCTAAGGAGCGGCTTCCAGACGCTCCTAAGAGCTCCGGAGGGAGGTCGACGGGGGATGGGATGGAGGGCCAGGCCCGTGGAGAGGCAGGGGGCCAGGCCCATGGAGTGACCTGGGGCCTGGAGACCAGAGCAGGGCAAGAGCAGACTCGGAGGGAGACGAGGGCGGAGCAGACTCAGACGAGGGCGGAGCAGACTCGGAGGGAGACGAGGGCGGAGCAGACTCGGAGGGAGACGAGGGCGGAGCAGACTCAGACGAGGGCGGAGCAGACTCAGACGAGGGCGGAGCAGACTCGGAGGGAGACGAGGGCGGAGCAGACTCAGATGAGGTCCATGTCAGCGTCACCTCCATGGCCCTCACAGAGTACCTACTGCCCCCCCCAAAAAAATACTTGGGGAAATTCACAGGTTCAGGAAAGCCCTCCCGGAGCTTGAAGGGCGCAGGCAGGGCGAGGCGCAGAGGCGGGGCCGGCAGGGCGAGGCGCAGAGGCGGGGCCGGCAGGGCGAGGCGCAGAGGCGGGGCCGGCAGGGCGAGGCGCAGAGGCGGGGCCGGCAGGGCGAGGCGCAGAGGCGGGGCCGGCAGGGCGAGGCGCAGAGGCGGGGCCGGCAGGGCGAGGCGCAGAGGCGGGGCCGGCAGGGCGAGGCGCAGAGGCGGGGCCGGCAGGGCGAGGCGCAGAGGCGGGGCCGGCAGGGCGAGGCGCAGAGGCGGGGCCGGCAGGGCGAGGCGCAGAGGCGGGGCCGGCAGGGCGAGGCGCAGAGGCGGGGCCGGCAGGGCGAGGCGCAGAGGCGGGGCCGGCAGGGCGAGGCATCTGGGAACGCCTTCCGGAGCCTGGCGAGCCAAACGAGTCCTCCTCCTCCTCCTCCTGCGACGGCGCTTCACTGGGTTTGAAACTTTCACTTGGCTGGACTCACTTGACTTGGAACTTGACTCGGCGGCACTTGACTCACTTGACTCACTTGACTCACTGGAAGACTCAGAAGACGATGCACTTGACTCACTGGAAGACTCAGAAGACGATGCACCTGACTCACTGGAAGACTCAGAAGACGATGCACTTGACTCACTGGAAGACTCAGAAGATTCGGCTGGCACGCGCTTAGACTCAGTAGAAAACTCTTGAGGCAGGAATATAACGGAGCTTACGTGAAGTGTTAGAACGTCGGGATTCACATGTTGCGTGGATACGGCGGACCCTTTACGAAGCGCTGGTTCAAGTGGGCTTTCATGTAGCGCAAACTCGGCGGAGCACGTGTGAAGCGCTGATTCACCGGGAGACACTTGATGCGTGGATTCAGTGGGTACCTTGTACAATGGCGAATCGTCGGATCTTTTGTGAAGGAAAAGTTCCAAAAAATCCACAGTAAAAAGCGAACCGCTCATGGAAAAGGCCAGGTCAATATATTGAGTAAGAGTCCAGCTTGAACTCGGAAACGGTATAGCAGAGCCGAGTGGTTCAGACAGTCCTCCCCGAAAGAACATCATCAAACAGAAATCATTCAAGTAGGAC